AAAGTACAAAATAAAAGTAATTACCATTTGCGAGACTTGCTAAGGCAGCAAGGCTCAATACACAGACAACCAGTACAGACTGCATGATAAACTGCTTTATACAAAGCGGTTTGCAAGCCTCTGAGTTTTCACGCCTTTTATGCACAAGAGCCATTAAAATTGCGAACCTGAATAACCACAGATGGAAAATCCAGTAAATAGAGGCTTGCGTAGTCATCACAATATCTGTCAGAAAATAATTTCTCGAGATGGTCCCTTAGAATTTGGTTAAATAATAGCTTTTGGGCTGTCGTTTATTTGGATATGATTTCATTTGTCAGTGGTGATGTTTGTTGTTAGATTTGCAACCTACCCAGGACATTTGCACAACCTAGGTAAATCATACATTACGTGTTTTCACGCAATTTAAACTGGATAGCTTAGTAAAATGATCACCAACAGTTATATCGTTGCCAGCTTGTTATTATACCTCAGAGGTGTTACAGAATGCAAAAAACGGCGTTGGTAGATAGTACAGGCTTTTATTGTTTGTATGCTAAATATAATTCAGAGAGTCTCTTTCATAGTGATATGTATATGTCAATATACCCAGTGGTATAATACCCAGTTGTTTTCCGTAGACATTTCTACGAAACTGAATAAACATCTAAAAACGGCTAAATTGTATGATCAAACCATCAAATATTTTCTTTTTTCTCCCTCTTTCTTCATGAAAAACCAAAAAAGCTCTTATGCATACGTTTTAGCTGTCATTATCATTTTCAATTTTATTTTTGGGAAGAGATTTTGATACAGACGGAAAATAAACTATGTACTTTTGTTCATTATTTTTGCTTGTGTCTCTTAGTGCCTGTGTTCATATGAGCGATCTTATCGCTGGACGAGTTCCACCCCGAGGCAAGTTTCGTCTTGGGGCGCTTTCCATTTGTTAGAACTAACCGGCCTGACCATTCCAGTCATAACGAGAATTTCACTTTTAATCAAAACTATCCAGCCAGATCAGTCAAATCCTTAATAGTATGCACGAAGGAGATGGTGTTTCAACAAAAACTCTTGGAAAAAAGCACAGTTTTCATTGTCAAAATGACTGGTCCGGCTATGGTCCGGCCGGCCAGTTCTGACTTTTGGAAAGCGCCTTTGGTGTCTGGTTAAAATTTATCTGTAGATAAAAAAAGATCAATGGATAAATCTTGCTCCGAAAGACCTATTTTCAACCTACACCTTACGGAATCATAATCAATATTTCAAGTGTCAGGATAGTACAGTAGAAATGAACAATGAAAAAGAGACAAAACTCATATCGAAATGGAGTAATTCTCGTAGACAGGCCCTAATATGAAGTCATGGATTTCGAAGAATTGAAATTATTCCCCGTTCTGATTATTACTCCTAAGACTATCTTCAAACGATAATTTACACCTGCAGGACGTGTAAACTTAACAACTTACGCTTTTCAAAATTATATTTGCTATCAAATTCAATGCATCGCATATTAAAATTAAACTTAGCTTTCAAAAGGAAAACAGAGGGACATATTAAATAAACTTTGATTCAAAACTGGTTTGAAATTCAATTGTGTACCCTTTGGGTTTCTTAAAATTAGTCTGCAATTTTCACGGCTAAGCCGCTTCCTTTGTTCTCAGTTTAAAATAAAATATTGTGAAGAATTTGTTTCACTTCAGAAGAAGTTCATCGTTTTATTGCGACTATATATTTGCGCCCTAAGTAAGCGCAGTGGTGGGGATTTAGCAAGTTTATGCCCCCACCCGAACAAATATAAAGTCCTGATGAACTTTAAGAACTAGGTTTCACAACTACTGCCTAGCAACAGCCTGTATCTTGCATATAACGCTAGCATTTGAATTTTACCGGTCATTCGCTGTAATTGACCAACAATTAATTGTTTCTTATAAGTTTGACTATAGCAGCAGACTGAAAAATTATAATAGCATTGAATTTCTCTAGTTTCTGTATCATTCTTCTTTATGTATTCCCTTATTGTTTGGTTCAGTTTACTGATCGATGCAATCATTACATTAAGGAAGCAAATCAGTTATAAGCAGAAAAAAAACTAGGCTATTTGCCTTTGAACAAAGGAGTGTTGCAACCATCTAGTAGCTTTTGGCACAAGTTCATGGGAAGCTATTTAATCTGAAAGTTGCAATCTTCTCTTTCACAATATGTTGGATAGAGCTATCCTCTGGGAGTCGTATTTTTACTAAATCCCATCAAAAACTGATCCAACGGTAAAAGCGATATATGCACGATATGCAGTAGAGCTGAATAAATATTTATCTAAACGCAGGTTTAAATACAAGATTATCAAACCAATATAAGAAACAGCAGTTACTTGAACAGTGCGTCTTTTAAGACACTTTAAAAAACCTTCTATCTCCTTTTTCATTTTTCGTGTCTATTAGACTAATATGGTAATCTAGCTGACGAAAGCTAATGCAAGGATCTAAACAAATTATTACAAAAAAAGAGCTTATTTACGTTTCATGGCAATCCCAATTAACTCTTTAATAACCCTGCAAAATACATTGAAGGTTGCATGATGATGATGATGTTGATGATTGGCTGCCTAAAGAAAGTCTTAAGAAAGAAATGGAGGGTTTGAGACCAAGCCTCGAGAATAAATACAAGCAGGAAATCTCGCCTTTGTGCAGATTGTGTGGGAAGAAAACCGACTCTGTCTTCCCGATATCATTTGTAGTTTGCATATAAATAGAATACAACCCCAGCCATGTCGACAATATGGCCAGAATTTGAAACACGTTTCGTAGAGGGTTGTGGAGTTCGATAAAAAACGACATTGCTATCATAGGATTTCACAATTCAGACTGATCAGGTCATTTAACATCGTCAGCCTGACTTAGTGTTTTTCGATAAGAAGCAAGGACACTTAGTGTCATATATATAAAATACATACCGGTCCCTGGGGATGCCCATATAGAAGAGGATCAAATGCCCATTTGGATGAAAAAGAGAAGGAAAAATTGGAAAAATGCAAGGATTTAAGAAAAAAAGTTGCTCGACAAGGGCCGGAGTGTATATACTCCAGGTATTACTGACTGGGTCGGGGGTTTCGGTATGGTGACGGCAACTTTACGAACGGAGTATTCTTTCGTTTGCAGTTGATAATAACCGTTGTTTTTTATTTCCTTGCTTTTTGATATAATGAGAGGCATGAAAAGACAAGCGGGCAATTTTTTATTCTCATTCATTTTATTAGCCCATAAGGATTTCACTCCTAAAATCGGCTTATTTTTCCATCAATCCAATTTTTTAAGTAGCGGACTCTGGCGTAGACACCATATTTCCCAGGGGAAGCACAACCGCTACCCCACGAAACCACGCCTTCAAGGAAGAACTTGCCACTTTGTTCGCAAACCATAGGTCCTCCAGAATCTCCCTGACAGGAGTCTTTACCACCCCTATCGAGTCCAGCACAGACCATGGAAGTGTGGATGCTGGAGCCATAGGCGCTTTTGCACTTGGCTTCAGAGACGATCGGAACAGACACTTGCATGAGCTTATTTGACAGCGATCCTCCTGAAGAAAGTGTTCCAAATCCTGGAAATTATGAACAGAAAAAAAGGGAGAACACTCAGAGAAGGGACTTGTAGCATCAGTATCACCTAACCACTGGTGACAGTCTCAATGTTAATAATAACGTTAACGATAACGCCATAATAAAGACGATGATAATAAACATGTTACGCCAACAGTGTGAATATAGTGAGCAATGATTGCGATTGTCGTATTTTATTTGTCAAATTTTTCTATTATTAATCAGAGGTGGTTGAAATTAGGCTAACAAGGGGTTTTTACAACCAGGGGTCTTACTGACTGTTTGTTTCAGGGCATAGAATGCAATAACATGTAGCCTGTGTACAGACGCCCCCTCCCCTAAAAAATCGATTTTTTGGGAGAGAGGCAGTTTGTACACAGGCTAGATAACATGCAATAAACTAAAACAAAACAACATTGACAACAACAACAACAACAAAATCAAAATCAGGGGGCGTCTGCCTTTATAACTTTGCATTCAGAATATGAAAGCAAGCTTTTACACATTGCACTAAGCCTCAATTCAAACGTGGGCTTCCCATCTTTGCATGTGGGTTCACGAGCTACTTCATGTATGCCACTGGTGAACCTTAGGGAGGAACCCGTCCCAGAGGCCTAGTTCCCCACTTAATTTTTAGACCAAAATGAAGTCTAAAAGAACCGTACGAGAAACTTTATTGTCAATGCCCTTCCTCCCTCGATCTAACCAATGGGCATAGATGAACGCTTCCCCGGCCCTCCCCTACTTGCAGATCTCAATCCGCTACTGCTATGAATATTTAAACGGAAGTTAAGTTACTTTTAAACTCAAAATCTGCAAGCCGCTTTTTTCTTAGTTCTTATTTAGTACACCAATGGGAATTATGGTCCCAGGCGTTCCTAGCAGAGAACGTGGAAACTAGAATAAGCCGAATCGTTGCGTGACCGAAGCCACGTATTTTTGTGAAGAAAGCTTAGGAAAGATTAATGCGATTTAGAGCTTTTCCGGAAAGGGATGGTCCACGGATTCAATCGCCCGAAACTTGATTACTTTGGAACAAGTGAACACTTCGGTGGTCGAAAAAAAAATTAAATCTTGATGGTGAGGCTCACTGGTCTTTTATTGTATGCAAATGAGTCTTGCGGTGTGTGGTTTACTTTCGGCGATGATTAAAAGGACGCGTCATGTGCTTCACGAATTTTCGTGTTTTTATACACGCGTACAGCCTGCAACTGCAAACGTATTTCCGGTCGTCGCTAACACGCGTACTAAATCAATTCAGAAACAAATCGTCGAATACAATATAAAAGGTAAATATCCTGAAGAATACTCGACCGTCGATAAAGTAGGAAGTGAAAAACCTTTAGGGAGTAAATACTGTTTCGTGTAGAATTAGTCGCCTCCTCATTTCTTATCTAATCTCCAAGCAAGCGAGAGTTGGAAAGCTTTTAAGAGCGTTCTTGTTATACCTGTGACCCAGCAAGCCTTATTATCGATTTCTGTCACATCTTGGCTGTAGGCAGGCAAACAAGCCAGTCCAACGTTTTCCTTTATTTGAGCGGGTTTATTCAGTTTCAGCATAGCGATGTCGTGAGCCAGTCCTCTGGGCCTCTTGTAATTTTCGTGATTGATGATTCTTTCAACTGCAAAATCTTGCTCATTTCCAGTTGAACTTGAACGATAGTGAGCACCCATTCTTTGAAATAATAAAAAAAATCACATGGAAAAACTTGTTATGTACCTCTTAGTAATTTGTTTCAAATTCTTTAACCAAAGGATGATGAGAAGCGTAGCTTCCCTGTTAGTAGAGGCTTGTTTTCCCTGATATTCGGCGGGAGGAAAAGGTTATTAGCAATAGCTAGAAAGTAGTTGAGTATTTAGGAAAAGGGTGTACAGTAACCGAAACTCGGAAAATAACAGGTATATGACAGGGTTAGAATTGAAAATAGTGGAATTAAGGACGAGTACCAAAAACCATAAACCTATATCCCTAAGAATTGACTCCGGGGAACATTGGTTGGAGGCAAGAAATGAGTTGACCACTACGCAACCCTTAATCTACAAAGACTCAGGGTCTTATTTTAAAATGAGAAATGAAGGTACTTCCTTTGCCCTGAAAACGGCTAGACCTTCGCGTGGTTCCGATGACCACGTAAAATGGTGGTCTCGTCTCCAGTAGAGAAATAAAAAATACTGTCTTCAATTAGTACTTTCGTGACGCTCAAATAAAGTGCATTTTTAACTCCTCTTACGGGGATTATCAACCAATGCCTAGTAATGCCTAAGCGGGAGGTCGCGGGTTCAAACCCAGGCCTGACCAACACTCAGGGTCTTATAATGACTGAGGAGAAGTGCTGCCTTTCCAATGACATCTGCAAACGGTTAGTGACTTTCTAGTCTTCTCGGATAAGGACGAAAATCGTAGGTCCCGGCTCACAGCACTTCTCGTGGGACGCAAAAGAACCCACACTACTGTTCGAAAAGGGTAGGGGACGTAGACCCAGGTGGTGTGACCAACCTTTCCTGGGATGGACGGGTTATCTGTAAGGACACACTTAAATTGGAGCCCAACTCTGTTGTGTGTTGATATGTTAAATAATTGTAACGTTTAAACCACATCATACCTTACTCTAATTTGTGAGGAAGACTTTCCATATACACAATGGGCTGCAGTTACAACCCACTGAGGATGGACCAATGTTCCTCCACAGAATGTAAACCCTGAAGAAGTTCTGACTTGTGCTTGCCACGGCCAAGCTCCTTTAGGAGCCTCTACTCCACCCACAATTCTTGCACTCGGTTTATAACCACATTTTCCTGATCCACCATTACCGTCGCCTCCTCCTCCTCCGCAGTGATTACAGCTTTTCATGCAGTTTTTCTTCATATACTGTTCATATCTCCCTTTGCAATATCCACGTCGAGCCCAAGCCGGACAATTTTTGTTTTTGTCCATGCAAGCTGATAAACAGGACAAATTAATGAAAGTTAAATGGACCAACTGATCGATATTTCGGTTTTAGGAAATGTAACTTGTATGTGTATCGCTTATTTGGACTTCAATGCTGCACGATAGGCAACAAGCTACTCTTTAACACACTGACACGTTTACAACGAACACAACTGAATAACGTAACGAAACCAAAGGAAAGGAAATTGGGTTATGCTGGGTTCTTTTCTTCTCAGTGTAAAAATTACTCAAAGCTATGTTCACCATATACACGTAGAAATTTCAGATTTTTGTTGACCTGAAATTCGCTTTACCGGGATGTCTAATCCTGCACCCAGTGCAGTTGCAACATGCTTGATATCATAACATTATAAATATTACGAAATGAATATGTTTATAAATTAAGCTGATTCATATTAGCTGACAGCTGCCTTCTCCTCCTCCTCCACCTCCGCCGCCACCGCAAAAATTACAGGTTCTTTTGCAATTTCTTTTCATGCACGCTACAAAATCTTTTTCACAGTACCCCTTGCTTTTCCAGTAAGGGCACCTTTCCGTTAAGTCTTTACAAGCTGGAATAAATTATGGTTAGGTCTATAGTGAGTTGTCTGGTTTTATAAACACGATTTACTGTATATATGTATATCAGTGAAGACATCTATGCAACCATTTCAAAATCGACCTCAAAATTTTACTTCAACCCAGTGCGGAGCTATAAGTCAAAGGGGCACTGTTTCTTTAAGATTTTATCATAGTCACTAGTTACAAATAGCAGCTCATTTACTACTGAAACACATTTCACGTTTACTTATTAAGCATTCAGCAAAAACAAGCCACTGGCTTTGGATCATATGTAAAAAGAACAGTATCTAACTCGCAGGAAAATAAATAATCAAAATGCAATGCTTATATAATATTTCGCAAGTTGTACATTTCGTTACCGACAAATTTGGCTACCATGATCGAAGCAAATAGGGTGCTGCGCGATGATTCCATGGCCAGTAGGCCCGGGGCTATTCAGCAATGTGTTATACGGGGAGGTTTCCTACACTTTTACAGCTATTTCAAAAAACGTTGTCGGAAGAAAAGCAAAAAGCCTCTAAGCAAAGACCGAAAGGTGATACGGGATTTTTATAATGACCTGCTTCAGGTCCCATAGGAGTTTTGCGGCCACTCAAGTATGTCCCCGCTGAGCAAAGTATGGAACGTCGTTCTGTAAGTGAGAGTACCAAACGTTGGACAACTCTTCAAACAGAGGTGGTTGGAGGGCCTTGAAACAGTAGGGAGCTTAAGCAAATACAATGGCGACAAAAGAGACCGTGAATTAACAACATATAGGTTTAAATTAACAAAACAACAACTTAATTTGCACGTGTATCCTTTTTTGTCCGTGGCCGTTGTTGCCCGACTACGGCTTGAAATGTCTCGTGTTTCATAGGGGAAGTGAACAGCGGACCACAAATTTCTTTTCTTTTTTTTTTTTTAACTTAAAACTAGCCTTTAGAATTCATTTCCAGAGGAATCGCTATCATTTAAAAAAATGAACGAGGTGGAATAAAGGCGATTTCGTTGTCCATACATTCTCACATGCTGGTGTAGTGCAAAATATGAGCTGCAGTAGACTTTGGCGAGCTTTAATTAATTCTTGAGTAGGACCCATTATTCGGAAAAAAGTTTTTTTATAATGCTTTTTTTCGCCGACTTCGTTACTACGTCATGCAAATTGATAAAATGTAAAATTTAATGTCATTTTTCCTTGCTAATTAGCTGACTGAAAATTGCTTTCAAAAATGGGAATAAGCAAGAGTGTACTTCGACTAATACGTAATGTTACTTTGTGCTTTTTTAAAAACTAAAATGATAAGTATGGTTCAAATGAATCAGCGACCAGTTTAGTGGAGTGATAGTGCCAGCAAAAGACGGATTTGAAACAACCCACATTACCTTGCGGTCTTGGCTTTAAGCCTTTTTTCTTTTCTTCCGACAACGTTTTTTGAAATAGCTGTATATACCAATTTCAGCCAGAAAAGGTTAACCCTCCATTTAAAAAGATGATGCTCCTTTCACATACCTACTAATATCATGTTTTCTTTTGCAGCGATTAACAAATTTTAAAATTCATATAGCCGTTAAGTGCTTCGATTCAATATATTTTAGTTAAAGGCCTTTTTTAATACCTTAATTAAAAATTTCCATGTATATGTACTGTAACTCAAGAAAGCCCTACCCTTTTTATGTATTGAAAGCCTGAAAAAGTGCTGTAATTTGTGCGGAACCTTTCTTTTTTAGGCCATTATTGGGAACACCCTCTATTGGAAGGAATAATATGACACAGCAATGACCGGAAGTAAATCAGCTCATATTTGGCCGGACTGAGATGGAACCATATATCTACTACCCCATCCCCTATAAAACTCTCATATAACATGAGTTATTTGAGGATATTTTTATTTGTTAACGCTTTTATTGTAACTTGAACTATTTAAATAACAAATAACAACAGTAAAAATAAGCCAATCAATTACCTCTACTACGGCCATCACAATCACCTGAAGACACGAATCAAAAATAAGGGTTTTTGTGTTCTTTTCTAGTAAATAGTATATTTTTTTCTTAATCCAACTAATCTTTATTGGATGAAGTTATCTAAAGAAAGATGAAATCGTACATATCAACTCAGAAAATATTTCAGGCGTCTCGCGTAAAGAGAAAAGTGCATTTTTTATCTTCCAATGGATCGTTTGATGCTGTCATTTGATGCTGAGTACGCACGTTAAAATTACGCGACTCGTGCGTTCGTGCGTAGAATTGACGTTTACTGTTCGCGTTTTTTAAAAAAGAGGCATTGCACGAAAGATCAATTTCACGTTTAAGCGCAACACCTCATACCTTATCTCTATCCTATTTACGCAATGTGTGTACACGCACGTAGTAATTACGCGATAGTGGAGATTCACTCTTAAACTTAATCATTTACAAGATATTTTTCATGTAACAGTCAGGAGCGGTAAAAAATTAATTCTATCTGTTGTAAAAATACCTATGGAGGTATTAAATTTTTGATTTTCATCACAATGTTTTAGCCTCTCTTTTTTCTACCTAAAAACGAAGATGATAGTCTCATTCAAGGAAGAAAGAGCAAACGCACACACCCATAAAAGGTTACGACTTTCGTTACAATGTTTTAGCCTTGGTTTCTTTCTACATGAGAAAAAGACAATAGCAATAATCTCAATGGAAGAAAGACAAGAAATTCAAGTGAAAACTTTACCGTGGATGAGCGAAGATGACACAAAACACACCAGCAAAGGGAGAAAAAATTCCATCTTGGTTGGTGATGATTTTCATCGAATGCGCGCAAAAGGTACTTGTTTATAACCAGACGTAAGTTATCTAGCTGTGTTTAAGCTTTCCATTTGGGTAAATTCGAGATCACCTGTATCCATACTAAGTTTTTGATATGGCGCAGTTTTCTATAAGACTCATTTAGAAAGGAATTTAGAAAACTGAAGTGATTGTGACAAAACTGAGTAAAAAATGATATGTTTGCACTTCCAGTTGAAACACCTGAAGGTTTTCCTTTTGGCTAAAATGCTCTTGTTTATACAATTTAAAAGTTTTCCCTCGATCACAAAATTACTGTCTATACGTGATTTGTTTATAAAATAGGTTGAAAAACAATTTTGCTTAATTCTTTTATAAGATGCAGGAACAGTTTAAATAGCTGGAGATCCGAATCCAAACTAGAATGAATCGTTCTTCGACGTTCTGCAAATATTAAAGACAGCCGTTCATTGCAAGACTTTTGATATACAGTAAACACCTCATGGTACTATGAAATCCACGTATCTTTCCAAGATAGTATAGGTTCAATGATTTTTAAGGGTTTTGATATAATTATGTGTGAAATTTGCGGGTTCTTTAAGTTCTTTTTCCTTGTTTGTAAATCAGGTTCTTGTTCTAATATTACATACATACATAGCCCTTTGTTATTTTGTCTGGTCGTTCTAACGCCATAGGCACTAATTGGGGTCACGAATTAAAATAAACTAAAATACAAGATTATTTACAACACATTTCTTGAAATTACCTAGTAAAATATGCAACTTCGAGATTAAGAATGTATAAAAACATTTTTCTTACAACGGCCTAAAATATTCTACCAACCAAGACTATAGATACATTATATGAGAAATTATCTAAATAACTGCTATCTAACCAAATACAAACGCTAGCCTTAAGTTCTTGTGAAAGGTAAGGATTAATGCAACACGGTTCTAGGGAACTCACAGTACGGCCGGGCTGCAAGACGAACGTTTCTCATACTTTAATTCTCTTTAATGCAGGTGCACCAAAGGTAAAAGGTTTCAGCAAACCTTTAGTGTTCGACTAGAAAAATGTCTAAACCCTCGCCGGTTTCATGTACTTGCTTTAAGCACCGGAAGGAAGGTTAGTTTCGCAATTTTATTATTTCGAGAAACCCTCCATCTAAATTTTAATTGCTTTAATATTAATTTTCTACGCTTTGCTTTATGATTAATGACCTTGAACAGTCTCATTCCACTGCAAAAAATTAATAGGAACCTAGCTCGCGTAGCTCAATCATCAATCATTTTCTTTTCAATGCAAAAAAATTCTCAAAAACATTAAGTTCATCATATACACGAAAAGTTTTCAGATACATCATGCTTGTTGACCCACAATTCGCTTTGCTTACAGAATGTCTGCACTGATCCAAAGTATATTTTGTATAAATATTCTGTGCAACTCCAGAATACTCCAATCATAACAGTTTAAATGCGGAAATGAATGCGTTTATAAAGCTGTGTTTAAGCTTTCCATTTGCGTAAATTCGAGATCACCTGTATCCATACTAAGTTTTTGATATGGCGCAGTTTTCTATAAGACTCATTTAGAAAGGAATTTAGAAAACTGAAGTGATTGTGACAAAACTGAGTAAAAAATGATATGTTTGCANACCCACAATTCGCTTTGCTTACAGAATGTCTGCACTGATCCAAAGTATATTTTGTATAAATATTCTGTGCAACTCCAGAATACTCCAATCATAACAGTTTAAATGCGGAAATGAATGCGTTTATAAAGCTGTGTTTAAGCTTTCCATTTGCGTAAATTCGAGATCACCTGTATCCATACTAAGTTTTTGATATGGCGCAGTTTTCTATAAGACTCATTTAGAAAGGAATTTAGAAAACTGAAGTGATTGTGACAAAACTGAGTAAAAAATGATATGTTTGCACTTCCAGTTGAAACACCTGAAGGTTTGCCTTTTGGCTAAAATGCTTTTGTTTATACAATTTAAAAGATTTCCCTCGATCACAAAATTACTCAGTCTATACGTGATTTGTTTATAAAATGGGTTGAAAAACAACTTTGCTTAATTCTTTTATAAGATGCAGGAACAGTTTAAATAACTGGAGATCCGAATCCAAACTAGAATGAATCGTTCTTCGACGTTTTGCAAATATTAAAGACAGCCGTTCATTGCAAGACTTTTGATATACAGTAAACACCTCATGGTACTATGAAACCCACGTATCTTTCCAAGATAGTATAGGTTCAATGATTTTTAAGGGTTTTTATATAATTAGTTGTGAAATTTGCGGGTTCTTTAAGTTCTTTTTCCTTGTTTGTAAATCAGGTTCTTGTTCTAATATTACATACATACATACATAGCCCTTTGTTATTTTGTCTGGTCGTTCTAACGCCATAGGCACTAATTGGGGTCACGAATTAAAATAAACTAAAATACAAGATTATTTACAACACATTCCTTGAAATTACCTAGTAAAATATGTAACTTCGAGATTAAGAATGTATAAAAACATTTTTCTTACAACGGCCTAAAATATTCAACCAACTAAGACTATGGATACATTATATGAGAAATTATCTAAATAACTGCTATCTAACCAAATACAAACTCTAGTCTTAAGGTCTTGTGAAAGGTAAGGATTAATGCAACATGGTTCTAGGGAACTCAACAGTACGGCCGGGCTGCAAGACGAACGTTTCTCATACTTTAATTCTCTTTAATGCAGGTGCATCAAAGGTAAAAGGTTTCAGCAGTGAAACCTTTAGTGTTCGACTAGAAAAATTCCTCTCCAGGTAAATGAACCTGAAAATAAAGGCTAAACCCTTCCCGGTTTCAAGTATTTACTTCAAGCACCGAAAGGAAGGTTAGTTTCGCAATTTTATTATTTCGAGAAACTCTCCTTCTAAATTTTAGTTCCTTTAATATTAATTTTCTACCCTTTGCTTTATGATCAATGATCTTGAACTAATTCCACTCCAAAAAATTAATAGGAACCTATAGCCCGCGTAGCTCAATCCAAGTCGGACTGCCAAGGAAATCGTTTCGTAAATGGTGAACTGGCAGCAAGTAGTTAACAACCCGTTACGATTAACCTACTTTCCCGTTTGCGTTAGATCTTTTCTGTTTTTGGATTACATTGAAACGAATCAGATTGAATTTCTCCAGCTGTAGACTTGCACGGTAAGAAATGTTAGGGCTCAGTGGATAGCTCCTTCTCTCGTGTATTTGGTGCTGTTTTGTATTGCACGTTCATTGATTCGCAAATTATAAAATTTTAAAGCTCTTGCCTGGACATCATTTTGGAAATTAGAGCATCTTTGGAAAAGCCATATCTCATGACTTATCTCCAATAAGGTGAAGCTTTTCGACACAGCCAATGTCACAGTATTTCTGTATGGCAGCGAGTCATAAGTCATCTCCAAGGACATGGAGAACAAAATAAATTCTTTTGGCACGTCCTACTATAGAATTCTGTTAAACATCAGGCGAATTGACAGGATGCCAAATGCTACCATCTACAGCCTCACAGAAACAGCTCCCCTTATTGAAAGAGTCAGGCTTCGGCAATTGAGTTTCCTTGGCCATGTGCTCCGCTTGTCTGGGTAAGAACCTGTCAGAGAATTTGCAATGTATGTTCCTACTCATGGAAGGAGGAAATCCGGAAGACAGTGAACCTTGGCCCGGTTGCATAAAACCTGCTGTTAAGAGCCCACTTAAGTAGGTCACTGACGAATCCGTTATGGGTACACTTACGGGTGTTGCATGGAACGCACTTAGCACTCGCGTACGGGCTTGCCTAAGGGCACACGTAACTTTGATATAGTACTTTATTAATAACTCACTCTTTTTTTTTAAGCTAACCATCGGTGAGTGTGGGAAAGTGTCAAGTCGTTTCGAACACTTTTAAGCCTCTCAAAAAAATTATAAAATTTGCATGCAATCGTTATTTTACTTCAATATCTACTGAAAATGATAGTTCTTCTTTTTTCTCAACGTCGGCTTTAAAGTGTACATCAGAGGTAAACAAAGCGTATTGGAATAAATTACGTGAAGATGAATACTTTTTTTTTCACTTCTCAGTAAAAGGTCTCGTTAACTTTAGTAAAAACAGTAAGGATACGGGAACTACAAAGTTCCCGTGAATTTACGTGTCATTTTTCCCGTAAAAAGAGTTTTATACAACACCCGCAATTTCTGTTGCATAAACGACACTTTAATGAACACTTACGAAAATCGTAAGTGCAACCACGTGGTTAACGCACTGAAGTGAATTCCCTAAGTGGATCACGTAAGTGTTTCAATGCAACTCACTTATGATGATGATGATAATATACGGCCTCCTCCAACCTTAAAGTTAGGCAACAGGATACCTTACTGTTACCAGCATTGTTTTTGTTATTCAAATTTGTAACAAGTAAAACAAAATAATATTTTGTTTCAAGAACAAGTGCGCTTCTGAGAGGCCTTCAATATCGATAGGTGACGTCAGCGTGAGTATCGCTATTTTTAACATCGTAGTGGTGTAGAAATGTACCAATAAGTGTGATGCATACACGTGCACGGAAGTCGTTTTTCTCATAAAACCTTTTTACGCTCTAGTTGCCGTCGTCGTCATAAATGCTTTAAGTCCCAAATGAGCTTCCTAGTCCAAAATCTTGACTAGACTAGTGGCTAGCTTGGTGACAACAAAGCAATAGCGCTCAGTCAAGAGGTTGATTCGCACTCCCGGACCTAGTAATAAAGACTTGATTGAACGGGAAACCGCGCAATCAGAGTACACGTTATGTGAACACCAGCATCTAAGTTGCATGATGATGATGGTGATGATGCCGGATGATTAACCATAATGATAGTGATAATCATGATGAATGCCTGAGGGAAGGAAGCTTCAAGAAAGAAAGGGAGGCGCTAAAGGCCAACATCGTCATGGTCAGCCTGGCATAGTGTTTTTCGATAAGAGGAAAGGTCACAGTGTTATATAATATACATACCGATCTCTGGGGAACCCCATATGGAAGGAAAAGAGAAGGAAAAATTGGAAAAATACAAGGAATTTTAAAAGAAGGGAAGATACTTGTCTAGGGAGTGTAAATGTTACAGTACCAAACGTATTACAGGGTTGGAGGTTTGAGTAGGATGACGAAAATTTTATAAAGGGGTCATTTTCTTTCGTTTGCAGTTGACAATAATCGTTGTTGTTTTCCTTTATGATATAATGAGAGTCATGCAAAGACAAGCAGGAAATTTTGATCTTATATTCATTTTATTTATTGGTCCATAAGGATTTTACTCCCTTTGACTTCTTCCTCCTCCTCCTCTCAGCCGCACACTTTACAGCTTTTCATGCAGTTTGCCTCCATAAACTTTTGATATCTGCCTTTGCAATATCCACTTTGGGCCCAACGCTGACAATTTCTGTTTTTGTCCACGCAAGCTGATAAACAGGACAAATTAATGAAAGTTAAATGGACTAACTGATCGGTATGTTGGTTTTAGGAAATGTCACTTGTATGTATGTTGCTTATTTGTACTTAAATTTTGCATGATAAGCAACAAGCTACTACTTAAAACGGCACGTTTACGACCAACATAAATAATAATTTAACTAATATAAAAAACTGAATGGTTCTTTCCCTTTCAATGTAAAAAAATTACTCAAAAACATTCAGTTCATCATATACACGTAGAATATTCAGATACATGCTTGTTGACCCACAATTCGCTTTGCTTACAGAATGTCTGCACTGATCCAGAGTATATTTTGTATAAATATTCTGTGCAACTTTAGAATACTCCAATCGTAACAGTATGAATGCGAAAATGAATGTGTTTATAAAGCTAAATCATAATAACTTACCACCACCGCCGCCACCGCCACCACCACCACCGCTACCACCTAATGAGACGAATAAAAAATAAGCCCTTTATGTCTTTTTTACTCAAACAATATATTTCTCCTAATTCAACTAATTTTTACCGGATGAAGTCATCTAAAGAAAGATGAAATCATACAAATTAACATTATCAGCAAAACATTTCAGACGTATCTCGCTTAAAGGTAAAAGTACATCAGTTATCATCCAGTAGTTTGAGGCAGTCGTTTAATGCTGACGTAAGATAGGCTAACAAGTGGTCAAGAGCTTATGTTATGTTTATGGTTCTGGTATCTTAATTGAAAATAGAGAGAGTAAGAACCAGTTTAAGGTAATTTCTCAAATTAGGTATGACTAGATGAAAACGGGCTAAGAGAATTCACATGGATGGAACTGACATCAAAACAATTGTTATTCTGTAGACTTGAACCTCAAACAACCAGTAAACGGAAAGCCTGTTCACGTGATACAAACTGGCATTTGCTGTTTGCCTTAAAAGTGATTCTCAAACTCTCATTTAACTCACCTTGTATTAAGTCGTTGATCCAGTTCACGTATGAGCTGACGCGAGCATACACGGAATAAGTGTGTCCAGGACATGTTCGGCTGGTCACCCAGGAAGCTGCACCGCGAACAACCCACTTACCACCTTCCATACACGACAAGGGCCCTCCACTGTCACCGTTACACACACTACTACCCTGTCCCCCTACACAAACCATGGAACTTTCGTGCACTGTTCCTCCGTTTCTCTGACGGCAATCACTGTGACTGGCCACTGGAGCCGCAGCTTGTTTAAGGTAGGGAGAGAGGGCGTTGTTGTTTGGATTGATTCGTCCCTATCCTAAAAGCAAGCGCCAAAGAAAACGGCATAAGTTAATGATTATATAAACAACCATAACATGCAGATACTAATGGAGGACAGCGTCCGATGTTCTCGTTATCTTCTGAGGTTACCTCACCACCACCGCCTAGTAAATTTGTTTTCGAGGAATTCGAAAAAACATATTTCAGGGGAAAAATAAAAGCGGACAGTAAAAAAGGGCTACAACCAATACGTGGAGACTTAGGGAGTTTATGTATACGAAATTCTTTTAATGGTTCAGTTTTAAACTAATAAATAATGCATCTGAAAAATACTAGTTGTTACTAAGGCAAAAGATTTATCATGAATGCTCCGTGAAAAGCATTACATAAGATTTGGAGTGTATACTGAAAAGAAATATTAGCTTTTTTAAGCTGTACTACGATTATGTGTACCATACAACAAAAATGCGTCAATCTCACGTCATATAATTTACCTGTAACGTAGCACGTTGTCCTTGACTAACATGTGAATTTTGTTTAGGTAGACAGACGGTTCCAACTTTATTGTTAAGATTTGCGGGTTGCGCCAGTTTTAACACAGCTACATCGTGACGCAGATGACGCATACTGAACTGAGGATGTTTGATTACACGGCTCACCTCGTACACCTCTCCGTCATTTGTTCTTCCATGAGCACCTGTGTCAATTATTAAACTGAGATTCAGTATGGGAGGAGAAGCGCCTTTTAACTCATAACGGGTATCGATACGCTACTATTATGTTTCCTCTGTGTCATATATATACAAGTGATATTTAATGTGATCAACTCTTTTTTTTAATGAGGATGTTCTTTCAATATTGATAACCCCGAAACGAGAGGCCCGGCTTTTTGTGGAATGCCCACCGGTGCTAATCGAGTCCTCGTAGAGAGTTCGAAAAAAATACTCCAGGTCATAAGTCCTTAGCAGCGCCAATCCCATTATCAAAGTAGGTGGGGGCAGGGGGTGTGGTAAAGTAAGCAGCCTCCCCGTACCAAAATAACGAATAGAGAAGGGAAAGGGCTTTGGATGAACGTCTGTATGTCAAAGAGTTGTAATGAAGCCATATGAATTTCATCCACGCCTGCATGAATCTATTAAAATGCATTAGAAAGAAAAAATTTATTTTAAACTGATTGACTTACCCAAACCAAGCGTGTACCGATTGGGGTCACTGCTCCGATCAACACAATGTGCGGCAGTTAAAGCCCAGTGCTGATTCAGCAGGGAGGCGCCGCATATGTGGCTTCCATATACTCGAAGGGATAACTGCCACGGCCAGGAATTAGGACGTGCCACTTCGCCCCCTACAATGCGGGATCCAAAAGGTTTCCTGCCACACCCTGTTAAACAAGAATAGAAATCGTATATTTTCCAAGTGATAAATCATTGAAAGATCAAACTATAGAAAGTTGTTTACACGCAATCGCTTGCAGGATTTTTTTTTCATGTGACAGTCTGAAGCGGTGGTAGAAAATAAAGTGCGCCCACGCATTCTTATAGAATCCACAATCCGATTCAAGTATCCGGCATCATTTTATTGCATTTATGTTGAAGCTCATTAAGAACAAAACAACTCCCATGAGATTTATCTAAAATATTTTTAAAGATGTTAATTAATTTTAATTTTTGATTTTCATGACTATGTTTTAGCACTGGTTTGTTAAAAAACGAAGATAAATTAGAGAAAATAAAAAAGGGAAAAGCTCAAGTGAAAAATTCACCCAGAAAGGTATTAATTTTTAATTTTCTTTGTTTTAGCCTTGGTTTCTTTCTACCTTAGAAAAAGATAATAATAATCTCACGAAAATATTGAAGTGAAAACTTTACCTTGGATAAGCGAAGGTGTCGCAAAACACACCATCAAAGCGAGAAGAACTTCCATCTTGGTTGATGATGATTTTCATGAATGCACGCAAAAGGCACTGTTTATATCTAGTCGTAAGTAATCTTGCTGTATTTGAGCTATCCATTTTGTGTAAATTCAAAAGCACCTGTATCCATACTAATTTTTTGATATGGCGCAGTTTTCTATAAGATCTCTAAAGAGGAATTTAGAAAATTGAAGTGATTGTGACCAAACTTAGTGAAAAAATGGCATGTTTGCACTTGCAGTTGAAACAACTGAGGGTTGCCTTTTGGCTAAAATGCACTTGTTTATACAATTTAAAAGTATCCCCGCGATCGCTCAATTACTGTTTATCAGCGATTCATTTATAAAATGGGTCAAAACGCCTCAAATGCTCAATTTTTTTAATCAGATGTAGGAACATTTTAAATAGCTGGAGATTCAAATCCAAATTAGACTAAATTGTTTTTCAAATGAGACTGCCCTGTATCATTGCATGTTTTTATTTCACAAACTTTAAATATACGTACAGTAAAAGCCCGCGTATCTTTCCAAGATAGCTTCTTAGATCTTTAAGAGTTCTTACACAATTTTGGCTATTTAGGTTCTTAAGCAGGTTCTTGTTTTCTCAATAAAAAAATTGTTTTCAGGTTTTTGTTTTGGGAAGGATATTTGTAATGTCAAATTGGCGAAGAATATATTATACAATCATATCTATTAAACTGCAATCTTTAACAAATACAAACCCTAGCCTTAAGGTCTTGTGAAAGGCAAGGATTAATGCAACACGGTTCTATGGAACTCAGTTCAGTATGGCCGGGCTGCCAGACGGACGTTTCTCCTAAAAGCAGGTGCACCAAAGGTAAAAGGTTTCAGCAATAAAACCTTTAGTGTTCGACTAGAAAAATTTCTCTCCAAGTAAATGGACCTCAAAATAAAGGCTAAACCCTCCCCGGCCGGTTTCATGTATTTGCTTCAAGCACCGAAAGGAAGGTGTTCGCAATTTTATTCTTTGAAGAACACCCCCCCCCCCCCCCCCTCTTTTCCCGGAAAATTTTTTTATATTATTCCTTATACAACTAAAAAAAAAAAAAAAAAAAAAACCACCAAAAACATTTTTTAAAGTGAAAAATAAAAAAAACAAGCACTCATAGAGAAGATAAAATAGACTGGGCACGGCCGCGAGGGTCG